GTGTGTGTGTGTGTGTGTGTGTGTGTGTGTGTGTGTGTGTGTGTGTGGTTTGTTTCTTTTCTCCTGTCGATGCAGCGAGCCCAAGAGGATGAACTGACTAAAATAAGGAAGTACTACGAGACATCCAAAGAAGAAGACTTGAAGCTGCTAGACAAGCCCGAACAGTAAGGACACTTGAACTACCTTTGGTTGGTCTGAAAGAAGAGCCCCGGGCTCCATCTGTCTGCCTCCCAGCTGTGAACATTAAGTCTAACCGGTGTGGAGAGCTGAGTTACAGCAGCGTCATTCTGGTGCCGTATTGCATCCAGCAGGATGACTCTGCTGCCGGGAAGGCTGCTGAGATCTGTGCTGTTGGATGCAGCACGCCTCTCCCCCTGCTCTCCGCCCACACCACTCCCCTTTCTTGTTCTAGCAGCTTAATTCCTCCTAGACTAAACATTTTAGCTAAAAGGGCAACTGAGGAAGAAAGGAGGCATCACTGCTCTGCCTCAAGTTTTCCTGATGTCTTAAAACTGAATCTGAACTGTTCTTCTTTAATGTCATGCTCAGTGAATGTAGCCCAAATGCGGCAGGTTTTCCACAGCCTTCGCCATTGTGCTGACTTGGGTAGGTCTTTGTCATCCTCCATCTGTGTGGCTTGCTCTTCTTCCCACTAATCCGCTAGAGTGGTTAGCTTTGGTTTGCAGTATCATCTCCCCTACATTGAGAACTCAGATCTCTGATGCATACCCACAGTGACTCGTTTGCTAGGCTCTTGAGGTCTGCAAGCCACAGCTGAGTTCCTTGGAGTCCCCAGCCAAGATATCTAGGGACCGAGACTGCAAGTGTGCCTCTGGTTTGGAGGCTCCTGTGTCCGTTGCTATTTTGAGTGCTTCGTGTTTCTTTCAAGTCAGCCTTCTACCTCCAGGGAGAGGGAACTACAGAAAGCAAAGTGGATACTGAACATAGATCGACTCTGACAGGATTACCCTACAGGCATCCAAGGTTCCATCTTACACTCTATGCCTTATGTTTGTGTCCTCTTTGATACCTCAGTTCTCACACACTGGCAGACCCAGAACAAAGCATCTCTAATGGCTGGTGAGGTAGTTTGTTAGTGACCCTAAGTTTACCCCATACTGTCAAACACTGCTGATCGCTTATGAACCTTAGATCGGATCCTCTCACATGGAGCTATCGCCCACGCCCTTGGTCCTTAAACCTGATCTCCTCAAAGCCTATATCTATATGTATGTCTATACGTGGATTTATATCTGTATAGGAAGTTATATAAATTATATATAATACATATCAATTCAGGTGGGGCTCCACTGCCCTTTTCTCTCATGGACTTCAGCCATCAGCCTTACTAACCTCCACCACAGCTGCTGCTGCTCTAGAAGTCATGTTTCCTGACTGTGGATCAAGTTGCATCACTAATTATCAAAGGGGAAGTGACTAATAATGAGATATGAAGACACTTACATGGCCTCTGGTGGCATTTGGAGATGACTGAGTGTATCAAACATTGAGCTAGGGTTAGTGATGCCAGGTTGTGTGGTAAACTTGTAAGCCTGAAGTGGGCAAACTTTTCCTGTAAAAGACTAGATAATACTTTATACTTTGTGGGTCAAAGGATCTGCTGTGGTGCCTCAAGGCAGTCATTGCACCACTGTGGTTCAAAAGCAACCACAGATAATACTACATAACCAAAGAGACACAGCTGGACCTTTGGAATACATTTGGAATGGGTAAAATTTGAATTTTACATGACAAAAATAATTCACACTTTTTGTAATCATTTAAAGTGTGAAAACCGTGAGAGTCACACAAATACAAAATGGCAGGTCAGGTTTGGTCCATGAACTGTAATTTGTCCACACTCAGCCCGCTAGGTAAAGCCTGCCATAAGCCGAAGATATGGTGGTCAATGAACCACTGATGTGAAATGAACAGTGTGTGTCTGCAAAAAGAGGCATTCCTCTGCCTTTTGTGGTACAGCGTCCCAGCATCATTCCTCAGCACTAATTGCCAGGACGTAGAATAATGGTGGCAACTAATTAGCACACTACTTGTTATTCCTCTTTTCCCCCCACACTGATGATCATTTTGAAAGTTTGGAGGGCCATTGTGCTGACCCCTTGAACACTCATCACTCTTACTGAAGGCAAAGATGTCTGTCATGTGGGGCTGCTCAGGTGACAGGCTGGGCTCAGTGACCAGCATGGAGAGGTAGAGGTGACCAACCCCAAGCAGGCTTCACCTTTGCTGTCCACCTCTCTGAAGGCTGCTTTTGTCTCCTCTGTGCCAGAGTCTGGTTCTCTGGTGATTTATTTGCCACTTACTCCCAGTGAGTGGACTATAAGCATCTTTTACATACTGGAAAATATGAATCATTTGAGTTTAGCCTTTCAATTTCTTAAGAGTCCTGTGGTGCCCAGCCCTATAAATCACAGCACAGAGAGGCTGGCCTCAGCACTCACCTCATCAACTCTCTTGACACACTGCTGCCAGATTTAGAAAGCCATTTCTCACAGAGGTGTCATCTGCTTGGGACCTGGCCCAAGGGAGGGCCATTCCCTCCAGGGATGCCCCTTGACTCCCTTTATATCCTACCTAGAGATGTTGGTGAAGAAGGATGCTGAGCCACTCCTGATGAGGACTGTTGACTGTCTACACGCGCATAGCCAGCCTCCAAGGGTCTGCCTTCAGGATGCTGTGAGCATCATAATAGGATCTTTCACAGGAGTGCACAGCCAGCTACAGTGTTTTCTTTCCTAGGGTACAGGTTACACCGTGAAGTGGATGCAATTCTCCTGGAACACACCTCTTAGATCATACCATCCAAGGGTTGGGGAATGATGATACATCACTCAGTCTCTTTTCAAAGGATGGATCACACAGCAGCATCCCACTTGTTAACTGAGTTGCCACTGTGGCTATAAGACCCACACAAAATGAGCCACAGGGCTTCACTTGTGGTTACAGGTGAGCTGTAGTCCTTCCAGTGAAATAAGCCACATTGAATAAGGAAGGAAAGCTCCCTCGTTTGTGCTTCCTCTGCCCTTTCTGTTGTAGAATCTAGAATATAACTATAGATTAGCCCAAATGGAAATTAGTCCATGAATATTTGTATATATGGAGGCCTACTAGACACGACATTGTGCTTGGGCATGTCTGATGCCTTATTATCCCAGCATTTATGCGTAGAACATAAAGCACATGGGAGCAAGGGGCGCATGTTTATCAGACACTGGGTTCACATAGACTTTGAGATGAGCTTTCCTTCTGGTACTTTGCTAGACAAACGAGAAAAGAGCTATGGTGCCTTTCCTCGAGCCTGTGCCTGGGTATATTTATGCTGAAAGTTGCATAAAATCCCATACTTTTCTTTTTTTTTTTTTATTGAGTTAGTTATTCACTTTACATCTCACTCGTAGCCCCCTCCCTCCATTTGTCCCTCACCCCCCTGTCTCCCCTCCCCTGCCCCTCTCATAGGGGAGACCCCACCCACAAACCCACCCCAATCTCATCAGGACTGTGCACTTCCTCTTCCATGGTGCCCCCGGGGCCTAGGTCTAGTCCAGCATGGTTCCTAGTTGGCGCTTCAGTCTCTGCAAGCTAATTTTACCTCTCTGCTGTTTTATGTCTTTAAATTTCGCCAGGTGTTTCCAAGCCCAAACCCCAAAAGTTATCTTGGCCTCCTCCGGCATCATGAGGGATGGATCAGTTACTCAGGGTCTTCCTGCCTTCATGGCCATCTTATCCACTTGTTCTCTATCCCCACAGGCCCTCTTACCTTCCCCTTGCAAGGTCACAGTAGTATAGTAACTCCCTTTTCTCCCAGCCTGAAATCTGCTAAAGCCACTGCTATGGTGATTATGTGAAATTAAAAAAAAAAAAAAAAAAAAAAAAATTTAAAAATATTACTTCTCTGTCTAAAACCCTCCATTTGCTGAGGAAACAAACAAAAAAGTACATTTTAGAATGCAAAACTCTTATTTACTTTCACCCAGCTTCTTTGCAGACATCATCCAACCTGTCTCAGCTCGCCTCTCTGGTCCTCAGGCATGTCATGCACAGCATCGTGGTGACTCAGTGACCACAGCCAACATTGCCCCCCAAGCCTGTCATCACTGATCACCTCTTTCACACACTTCAGTAATCATGGTTTTGATGTTTGCAGTATCAAAAAGGAACCATGTGTAAGCTAAATCCTGTTCCCAGGCCTTACCATGTACTTGGGCTTCACACACACCTGAAGAACTGAGTAATCCATGAGAGCTCATGGAGTGACAGTAGTGACAGATTCTGTACAAGAGCTGAGTCCCTCCATCTGCCATTCTCTCCCAGCAACTTGAGACCTGGGGCTTTCAGATGAGAACCTTCTCAGAACAGCCCCGATCTTAATAAGTTTTAAATCGTAGGCAGCCTTGCAGTTTTATTCTTTCTTTGTTGGGTAGCCTCTATCCTTGTTTCCACAAATGGATCCTATGGCTCCTCTGAGGGACAGTTAGTTGTTTTCCTTCCAGCATTACCTACTTCTCATCCATGCCCTGGTGTGTAAACTTAGGCATTGCTCCATTTGCTAGCTCTCATGTTGCCCAATGCTGCAATAGTATGTTCATTTTAAGGCATGGCATTTACCTAGTCCAGAGATCTAGGTCCTACTTGGGGGTATGAAGAAATGACATGTCCACTTTTGGAAGGGGAGAAGTGCAGGGGGTTCTCCTGAGCAGTTCTTAGCATCTAAAAGGAGTAAATCTTTCCCAAACAAATCACAGAACCAAGTGAGGTCAGCCACCAGAGATGTTTACTACTCACCGTCTGTGAAAACTGGTGACAGCTCTGATGTCACTCATGATAAATGACTCAGTTGGTCGATGCCGTACTGTACTTCTAAGGGGACAATTTACAAAGGAAGTGCTTTCTTCCTGGCCCTAAGCAATTCTTCTGTAATCCATTAAGTGCTATAATATGTAGTCTGATGATAACTCTGGATGCTTGTTTTGAACATGAAGATAAGAGAGGGTTTTTTATTATGAGCTCTCCATGCTTCATTTCCATGGTATTCTAAAAGGCTGGGGCAGGGGAAAATGACAACTAGGCCCTTGTTACAGGAAGCAAGAAAAATGATAATAAAAACATATATCAAATCCCAAATTTTGCCAAGGCATGGTGGTATAAAACTATAATCCCAGAACTTGACTAAATGAGGCAGGGAGACTGAGAATTGAGGCAGCCTAAACCATAAGTAAGCTCTAAATAAGACCTGGTCTCAAAAAGAAAGTATACAACAAAAACAATCAAGCCTACTAAATCACCTCCTTCAAAAAAATCTGCAGAAGGAACAGGAAAATGGCGCAAGAAAACAAATTTGAGGACACAAAGGGGTGTAGAAACAGGAATGTTGATAGAGCCTTATAATTCCTGCCACTGAAGATACTGAGGCAGGAGAATGGTGAGTTAGAGGCTATCCTGGGCTACATACCAAGACTTTGCCAATATAGGAAGAAGGCTGGATCCCTTCCTCTTTTCCTCCTGTTCATCCAGCTGCTCCTGCTGCTCCTTCTCCTCCTGCTTCTCCCTCTCTTTCTGTTACTCCTTGTCTTTCTGCTGCTCCTTCTTCTCTTTTTCACTTAATAGAGAGAGAAGTAACTTTGTTCATTTACAAAACTATATTCAGTGAGAGATTGCAAAATTTCAAAGTGATGGTATTGTGAATGGCCCAAGACTTTCAGAAATAACAGTTAATAATCATTTCAACTCCAAAATGAAATTAAGGGCTGTTAGTGGGTTGTCCCCCTTTCTGAGTTAATAGCCAACTGTTTCAACTCATATTGGTTTATGGCCTTTCCTCTGGTGGCTGACCTCAAAAGCATGGAGCTCTTCCAGCTTCATTTTTTGAAGGACACCAGTGCCCAGTCACTCAGACAGTGAGCTACTGTGTACAGGGCAGCAGCCAGTTCTGGCTCATAAGAACTGTTTGGCATCACCTTTTACTCTTTAAAGATTTTAGGTTGGCTACTTTATGAGTGTCTGCTTTCTTCTAAGTACTGAGCTATCTATCAGCTGCACCTACTTGGATAAATTGACACAATGGTTAAACAAATATATGGAAACTTTAACCATTATAGACTGTTATGTAATTGAGCAAAAGTAATAGCGATATCACTTCAAATATATCTTAGCACTTGACTGTAGACTTTTGTCCAAAGTCTTTGGATACTGGAGACTCTGTCTACATAGATATACCTGTGGAGAATTTTGCATGACACAGGAGTCGGTTGTATCATTTTCTCATGCAGTAAAGAGCTGGGCTTTTCACTTGGGTATAGCCTCTTGTTTGGAGAGCAGGAGAGGGGTAATGTTTTAAGGACACTTGCATAAACTTTCTGCTCATCTCTGTTATTCACCATCATATGAACTCACCAGAGGCCCCCACTGTCAGCCATAGAACAGGTACTCTTGGAGTTCCTTAAGTCAGCCCAGCTGATTCCCATTATAAAGCGAGATCATGGTGTAAGGAATATTCCTTTGGCAGATTAGCATAGATTGATCCTCGTTCTTACAGTTTTCTTATGACTATGTGTAAAGCAAACTGATTTAATTTATTTTTACAGATTTTTGCATGAGTTAGCCCAAATTCCCAATTTTGCTGAACGTGCCCAGTGCATAATCTTCAGGGCTGTGTTTTCCGAGGGCATCACATCCTTACACCGAAAAGTAGAGATTGTCACACGAGCCTCGAAGGTATGTTTGCTGTTTAAAAACCTATGTTACCCTTATTGGCAGAAAATGAGGAAATGAGAGTTGAAGGAGATCTAACCATAAAAGGTCTATAAGTGTGACTTATAGAATGAAAGTCATCTGTACTTCACATTGACTGCTATTCTAAGGGAAGTCTGGAGTTTGTCCTATCCAAGCGTAAGGAGGGTAGGGGAAGAAAGAAAAGGAGAGAATACTGAAGAAGAGAGGGAAGAGGGGAAAATAATGCTTTTTACATATTTCTTCTAAAAGAAAATGCACTATAAATATGCTGGCCACCAGAAACTAAAATCAAAACAGCATAGTTTGATTCCTGGTCAACTCAAACTCTTCAACGCACAAAGAGATTTTACTTGGAACCCGTGCATAGGATCACCTGAAATCTGTCTATATCCTAAGATGAAAAGATTCTGGAGACTTGAAAAAAACTAACTGGGATCCTGAATAACTGGCACATACATTTCTGTGTCCACCACACTCTACTTGGTCTGTAGTCCCAAAAGAAACCTTGAAAAGATATTTGATCTCTTCCAACTTTAGAAGTTATCAAAAATTAGCTACACTCCCTGTTATTAATCTATCAAGATTAAAACTGCCTAAAATGAAAACTAGTTACAAAGGTTCAGCCCTCATTATTATCAGATCATATCCTGCTCTTAACTTTGTTGCACAAGTAGGAAATCGTGGCCTTTTATGCTCCCCAACACCCAATATGCTTACTGCTTAGTGAAATATATCTTGTATTTACCAACTGTTAATACAACTGGTAACAAGCCACCGGACGGGCTTGGTTACTTTAATAAGGGTTAGCTGTTCAGCAAATATGACTGCGTTTGGAATTCAGACCATAATAACTGGTGTTTGCCGTTACAGGGCTTGTTGCACATGAAGAGTGTGAAGGATATCCTAGCTCTCATTCTGGCTTTTGGAAATTATATGAATGGAGGAAATAGGACGCGAGGGCAAGCAGATGGATATAGTTTAGAAATTCTGCCCAAACTCAAAGATGTCAAAAGTCGGGTATTTATTTACTTTTCATACTTTGTGTCTATGTGCTATGGTTATTTTTCTTCTGAACGTTTAATTTAAAACAACGTATTACAGACTGACCCGTTTATCTTAGCTTTCCCCTAACAGTAATCATTTATCTGAAAGCATGCATTTTTGTTTCTGTTTTTCCCTTCTGTGCTTTTTTTTTTTTTTTGACTTAAAAATGGTAGGCTTTTTCACGTCAGACCTCATGTTCAGTGATAAAGTCATCATGTATTTATTTTAGCTCTAACACATGTGATTAGGCACTGGCGACTGCTGCCCTACAAGGTAAAACAGTATGCTGTAGTAGTCATACTGCAGAGGCTAGAGTCTGTTTGAATTTAGTATTGGCCACTTGTAATTTACTCATTCTTGAGTGGCAGACACTGTTGAGCCTAGTATTTGAATTATTCTTTTGCCCACAACAATTGGGGCTGGGGTTCCCTGTCAACTCTCTGAGCCTGATTATCACTTGGCTCCACACCCCTGCCGAGCCACCTTTTTAGAAACAACCAGCCCATATCTGGGCGTCCCATGGGGGCAAGGGGTGCAGGGAAGGGAAATACACAGGCAAATTAGAATTAGACCCCTGTGAACAGGACACAAAGGCTGCCTTGTGGGAGGGCCCGCTCCCCCTGGCCTTCCAGGGTCATAAAGTGGCATGGCTTTTCTTTTAAGCTGGCCCTGATTGTTTTTCACGCCATTAAAAGCACACATTTTCAGAGAAGGTGGAAGGGAGGGATGGTTTTCTCTTCTAGTCCACAGCTCCCTTTAGCATTTTTACCACCCCCTCCTGTCTTGGCAGCATGCCAGGTCATAGCGGTTAATGTTTTTTTGTTTGTTTGTTTGTATATTTGTCTCAGTCCTTATCGCAGAGTTCTCCTGGATTACCTATTTTGTTTTCTTTTTCCTCCCATAAAAGATGGTGTGGTGCCATTTCTTTTTAAATCTGATTTTTTTTTTTTTTTTTTTTTTTTAATGGATGAAACTAGGAGGAGGATGGAAAATCTGGTCAGTCTGTAACAGAAATAGTCTAACAAATTTGTAAGTGTTGTGACCTGGGTTTTCATCTCTCAGCTGGAAAACATGCAGGGTCTCCTGTGAACAGCGGTCATTTGAGTTTCTCTTTTAAACCTAGGACAATGGGATGAACCTGGTGGACTATGTTGTGAAGTACTACCTGCGGTACTATGATCAGGTAGGAAACAGCACTGGGGTCTCAGCAGTTTTCACTGTACTGTATTGTGAGCATTCAGAAATTGGATACTGGCTGTATATGGAGGAATGTCTTTCCTCTGGTCCAACTCTATCTGAAAGCACCCCAGTAAAGACAAAGGGAACCCCTGGATTTTAGGACAGGAAGTGTTAGAGCGACACAAGGCTGCAGGGCCTCAGTCTACCATAGAATGCAGCTTCAGGTAGATCCCTCACTGCCTCATGACCAGACTATGGAGCTTTCTGAACTCTAGATTCATTTAGGAGCTGGTTAGAGTTGAAACTGCATTCTGAGATACTGAACAACATTGAGGAAATCTTCAAAACACTGTAATTTTATGTTTTTAAGAAAAAAGACTTATTTAGTTATTTATTAATATTTTATGTGGATGTGTGCTTTCCTATGTGAGTTTATGTATGCCACATGTGTGCAGGAGCCTGCAGAGGCCAGAAGAGGTGTCAGATCCCCTGTAACTGGAATTACAGCAATTGTGAGATGCTGAAAATCAAGCCTAGATGCAGTGATCTCTCATATTTGCTGCGCTATCTCTACAGTCTACTTGTTTTTTTTTTTTTTTTTTTTTTTTTTTTTTTTTTTTTTTTTTTTTTATTAGCTAGTTTGTTTGAGGGACAAGGTTTCATTATGTACCCCGTGCTGGCCCAAAACTCACTATGTTAACCAGGCTGGACTTGAACTCACTCTGCCTGCCCCTGCCTCCTGAGCACTAGAATTAAAGCCTTATTTACCAGACCCACCTTAATAACCAAAATTTACCAACAGTGCATCTGGGAACAAGTTAGAGATATCATATTCGAGAATGAATCAAAGCAAGAACATTCTCTATGCTTAGAATACACTTGAATTAGAATTAAGCACGTCTATGAGACTATTACCTGAACACAATTTTCTCCTTTATTCCGTCTTTTTGAACTAAGAACTGGGAGTCCTCACTTTGAGAAGAAAGAAGGACTATTATTAGTTGTTGGGAAAAAAAATAGCAAATGACACAAAAAGACAAAATTTTCAAGAGAAAGTGTTGAGAGGGATCCCACCCATTAGCCCTGTAAGCAGAGTATATCTCCTGAAAGTAAAAGTCCAGAGCCTTGTTTCTTGGCCTAAAATTCCATCCCACAGGTGAGCTAAAGTGCTCATGAACTCTTTAATAATTTCTCCTACCTTGTCTAGGGAGTGTATCTGTTCTCAAACTGTGTATCTGCAGTCAGACTTGTTGCACCCCACTTAACTTCTCCCCTCTTTCCATCAAGGATTTAATGGTTGTTAGTCGTGCAGCTATGGAGCAATGCACTCCTCTGTGGTTGTTTGCTGCCCATCAGCTAAGCTGTTCCCACTGTCCTTCCATTTTGCTTTCCTGCTCAACCCAGCTCATGGAGGCATTAAAGTTGCTCGCCTGGAGAATTCCTGTGCATCCCACCTTATCTCCTGTCCCTAGGCAGTTCCCTTAGACCGTCAGTTTTCAGCCTTCCTAATGTAACCCTTCTTCATGCTCTTCATGTTATGCTGACCACCGACCATAAAGTTATTTCATTTCCACTTCATAACTGTAATTTTGCTACTGTTATGAATTGCAATGCAAATATCTGATATGCAGGTTATGTGATATGTAACCCCTGTGACACAGTTGTTCTACTCCCAAAGAGGTCACAACTCCTAGGTTGAGGAACACTGCCCTGGAACATCTCACAGTCTTTTATGTGTGGTTCCAATACTACTTTTATACGCAAAGCAGAAATGTCTCTCCACTTTTGCTAAATCAAGACCTGAGACTCTAATGTTCAACAAGACTGGGACTATCTTTATCTCAAGTCTTTTTTTTTTAAAGATTTATTTATTTTTATTATTATGTGTATGAGTTTTGCCTGCCTGTATAAAAGTGTACCACATGTATGCCTGGTGCCTGCAGAGGCCAGAAAAGGACATCAGCGTCAAATCCCTTGGACTTAGAGTTATGGGCGGTTGTGAGCTGCTGTGTGGGTGGTGACAAGTGCATCTAGGTCCTCTATAAGAGCAGCAAGTGCCCTTAATTACAGGGCCATGACTCCAGCCTCCTGTCTCAAGTCTTTTTATAATTTTTTTTCTATTATTCTCAAGAAATAACATATTCTGAGGTCTTAGGGAGAAAACTCCCAATGTATTATATAAATATATTATATTAATAACATGTGTTATGGACTTATTGAGGGAAATGTAAACCCTTATAAGGAAATTACATAGTTTTTTTTATAAAGACAGAGCACACTGATGACCGACAGGTATACCAAAAATGTTCAGCATTAATGGTAAATAGTCCATCCATACTGAGATACCCCAACACACACATTCAGACAACTATAGAAATTCAAGTGTTGCTAAGGTAAGGGGCTGTTTAGAAACCTTGAGCATGGTTTCTGAGAGGGTAATATGGTGCAGGTGCCATGTGAATCACATTACGGGCAATGCTCTAGGAATTAAAAACAAAGCTACCACATGATTCAGCAATCCTAAAGGGGACACCTTTTCTTAATTCCTACATATGTGCTAAGGGAGCTCACAAGATTTCAGCCTTCCTGTATCAGAAGCTCTGGAAATTTGCCTAGGTTTTTCTAGGAATTTAAACAGAAGACTTCTGTTACTGTTCTACTTATGATAATTAATATTAATAAAAGACTTGAATTTTTTTTTAAGTATCCAGATGGTTAGCAATAAGGTCAAATGAATTATGCTGGAATCATTAAAGGGAATAGCATACTGCTGTGGAAAGTGTTTAGGACATAAAGTGTTCTGTCTGCTTCTAAACTATATTCATGCATGAAACAGGGTATGATGGTACATGCCTTTAATCCCAGCAGGGAGACAGAGCTAGATACACCTTTCAGGTCAAAGCCGTTTGGTCTATGGAGTGAGATCCAGGACAGCCAGGATTATACAGTGAAACTCTGTCTCAAAAAGACAAGGAAAAATTAAATACATGTGTGTGTGTGTGTGTGTGTGTGTGTGTGTGTGTGTGTGTGTAAACATATATAAATAATAGGTAAATGTAAGTGTAACACTAACTCAAAAAATCCTATAATGATATATAGCAATATATTTCATTATTATTTCAGGATGTTAGGGTCATGATTCTTTTTTTTTTTTTTAACTTTCAATTACTAAGTGCAACGAATGTGCGCTTGTAAAAGTAGAAACTACAATAAAAACAATCATTCAGTCCAATATTTCATGCTTCCCCCATAAGTATTTGTTTACATCCTGATCCTTAAAACCAATCTTGGAAGCTCTCACTCTGGAAGCCTGGGTGAAGATTCTTTATAGGTCTCCAGTGATTCCTTTTGTGGATAGTGTACAAGTTGCCAGTGATCTTGAAATTGCTCCTTTGAGAGCCAGAATTCATTGTTGACTTTTTCATGTCTACCTTGGAGGTGTCCAATAAACATTGGACACGTTACTGTTAATGTGAATGTCACTAAAAGTGTAATAAATTGGCATATGTAATGAACTAGGTGTGAGGGAATAAGTGTTTCTGTTTTCTTTTGTTTTTCTGGGGTGAGGGGGATACATTGAGCTTCAGGACATTTAGCAGCAGCAGGCAGACCTGAGCATACTCCAATTTCTGACAAGCAAGTACCCACAGGGCAGAGTTAACCCCAAGGGGTCTTGGCACGTGACTTTTAATTCCAGATGCTCAAGGAAAGATTCACCCCTATCCAGTGATCTGCGCTCCATAGAGGGACTGAAATTAGTCCATGGCATATTGTCATTGATGAGAGCAGAATTCAGTGGAATTGACTGCATGGAGGAAAATATAATGAGAATGAGCCCCATCCACATTTGTGCAGGGCTCTCCTGGTGTTCACCACAGAACACATTGCCTTCAAGGGGAGTGTGGAGCTGGGTGATTTATGAAGCTCCTTTTCCCTTGGGCAGAAGTGAGGGTTTTTTTTTTTTTTTTGTGGTCAGTGAGGAGTAGCAGTGGCCTGAGGAAAGGTGAGTCTTTCAGCTTCCTGCTCCTTCTGCCTAGCATTGGCTCCAAGTCCAGGCCTGTGAAAGTTGAAGAAAACCACACAGAGACAGTGCCTCGTCAACTCCCAGTGCTTTGACTGGACCTCCTATTAGGCTGATTCATCACCAGCATTTTCTCTTTTTCCATCCTATGGAAAAAAACAAAAACAAAACAACAACAACAAAACCTGAAGCCATGGTAGAGTCAGACACACTGCTTACAAGGTGTTGTAGCAGAATTCCTCTAATGTGGGTCCCCATCAGGCTTTATAGGGAGTGCCCCAGGTGGCTTTTCACTTAGCATTCAGTGTTCTAGTTGTTTTTAAAGTAAAAAAGTAAGTATAGTAAGGTGGAGGAATATGGATGGATGAAGTACTAATACAAGGAGGAGAGCTGCCTTCCCACAGCATCCAAATGAAACGGAAAGACCAAGAGCAGTGTTCTCAGCCTTCCTGATGCTGCAACTCTTCAATATAGTTCTTCATATTGTGCTGACTCCCAACCATAAAATTATTTTTGTTGCTACTCCATCACTAAAATTTTGAGGCTGTTATGAATCATTAAGTATTTGTGTTTTCTGATGGCCTTAGGTGACCTGTGTGAAAAAAGTCTTTCAGTCCCCAAAGGGGTTGCAGTTTGGGAACTGCTGACTTAGAGGGAGAGGAAAGGTCCAGGCAATTCCTGAAACTATAGGAAAACATTGTCATAAACTGCAAGCCTGGTACCGTGGCATGGTCAGCCCGAAGCGGGACTTCTCCATTACACTGCATGCTTAAGAACAGGACAGCCAGAATCCCAACGTAGAGGAGCTCATAAAGCCCCACACTTAACTGGCACCTGGAATTGGTGGCTTCTGGGGGAAAGACAGTCATTTTTCTACAGGGATGAAGCTACCAACAGCCTGTCTGAGCTCATGTAGATGATCCTACCCTCTTGCATACAGGACTCAGTGCTCTTAAAAAAGAACATGAAAAGTTGGAAGAGAAAAGTAGTTGTAGGGGAAAAGAGAAGAATTTAAAGAATGGAGGAATGGGGAGTAGATTTGTTCAAAACATATTTTATACATGTATGAAATTCCCAAAACTAAATATATAGTTTATTTATTAATAATATATATTAATATGCACTTATTAATATATATTAAAGCAGTTAGGTGTCTCCTGGTAAACTTGCAGATGTCACAAAGCAATATTTTACGAACCATCTGCAGTGGTGTCTACCAACCAAAACCATTTATTTGTTTGTCAGATACTGTATACTGTACCAAGAACAAGGCAGAGTGCCTGCCATTGATGTGTTTAAAGTCTAGCGACACATCAGACATACAATCTAAAGCTAAAAATTCTAAATTAATAGCAATAAGTGCCATGATGATAGGATCAGACACTCTTGGATAACGTGGGGAAACACCCAAGTTTGGGGAGGTTCTGGAAATGTTTGAGGAAGTCATGTTTGTGTTAAGACTTGAAAGATGGGCTCTGAGGAGATTCTAGGGGAATGGAAAAGAACAGCATTGTAGACAAAGGCCTAGAGGCAAAAGGCTGGCTGGTTCTCTTGTTTCATGAAAGCTTAGGAGTAGGACTTGAAGTTGGGGGAAGGTAGATCCAAGGCTTGTGCTGTAGACAGAGGCCAGATCAGAAAGTGCCTTGTAAAGCAGTTTTGGCATTTGGAATTAGTCCTAATGGCACTAAGAAAGATGGAATGTGAAGGGAAGCTGGCAAAGCAGTGTGTGGTGCAGAGAGAAAAACAGCCAAAGACCATCTAAGACGTGCAAGATAGAAAGCTTACATTAAACAACTCAGGAGAATGCAGCTTAGGCCGCAGAGGATTTTTAAGGCTCTACTTGTGTTTCAGTGTGCCTGAAGCGTCTGTCCCTTAAGATAATTCACAGCTCAGATCGTTCCAGAGCTGTAGACCTTGTCAAAATCATACCCAATCATGCCAGCTGTGAATACCTCCTAAGATAAGCCAACAGCATTTAGGTGGGCTTTATACACACATAAAGAATCTGATTGTGCACAACGTTCATCATAGCTTAAGCTGCAGAAAGGGTGAGTAAAGGAAGGGGGTAGCATCTCCCACCCAGTGCCTTCCTATCCAATCCACACCCACTGGCACACCCCAAGATGAGTTATCTAATTGCTAACATGTGTAACTCAAACGGGGACTTTCAATGTAAGTACTTTCATGTGTTTACCCTGTCTTTTTCCATGGGGAAAGAGAGAAATAGATCAGAGTATACCTGACAGTTTCTTCTTCCATTCTTAAGGCAAGATAGAAATGCAGTCCATGCCAGCATCTTAGCCAATCTCAATACCAGGAGGACCAAAAAGATGCTGTGAATGAGTCAGAGGCTTCCAAGTACAGAGTCCTGGTGTAGGAGAGCAGTACCATGATTGCCATTTAACCACGTGACTACACTTATTATTTTTTTTTTCTGACTGATGCTTTGGAATGTCAGCTGAAGCAACAAGTGGGAAGTAGAATGTGCTCTTGTTTACCCTGTCTTTTAGGAAGCTGGGACAGACAAGAGTGTTTTCCCACTACCTGAACCACAGGATTTCTTCCTGGCCTCCCAAGTCAAGTTTGAAGACCTCATAAAAGATTTGAGAAAACTGAAGCGACAACTAGAAGGTAAATGGGAACTGTTGTGATAGTTGCAAGGGCGACTTGTCAGAACAGTTTCATCGGACGGGCGGCTCCTGGAGTGGATTGGAAGGGAGATCCCTCCTGGGCTCCTGCAGCCATCGTGGAATATTCCTTCTCTGGGCAGTACTTGAGGGCAGTGAATCCATGCACTCCTCTGACTAGAGCCACTGATCATTTGGTATCTCTGCATCTCACCATATCATCAACTACTCCTGTATACTTCCCTGTCTGTGTGTGGAGAGGTTTGCATGCACACGTGTTATGGCTGTGTGTGGAGGCCAGATACCTTTGGGGTGGATTCTTGGGCAGAGCCCATCTTGCTGGATTAGTTGTGAGCTTCGTCTTTGACACAGGACCTCTAATTGTCCTGGAGCTCCTCCCCAGGCTGCTTTTTAAAAACTGAATCTACTTTTTAAAAACAGGTTCTGGGCTTCAGACTTGAATCCTCATACTTATAAAGCAAACACTTTCCCTGCTATTTCCCTCACTCCGTATCTGCTTTCTTCTGATATTCAGTGGTTACAGCTTTAATAATAATGGCTACTTGTTGCAAGTATACCGTTTTCTTACATCATTCCTATAACAAACATGATGAGCAGGAACTATTGTAGAGATGAGAAAGTTGAGACAGGGTAATTGCCTTTAGTCAGAGGCAGGTGTTCTCTGCTTTGATCAGGCCTCAATACATATATGGTACATGTACATACATGTATATATAAAGATATATTCTTGTCACATATGTGCATATACACTGTAACTCTGTATTTGTTTTTGATACAACTCTAATGATAATAAAGAACCCACATTAAAGGCTCTATTTTAGTTAGTACATTTTAAATGATGGAATGCAAAAGCCTGAAAGCTTTTTTTTTTTTTTTTTTTTTTTTTTTTTTTTGCTTTTTAGATGGTAAAATTGTGTGTCTCTTGGTCAGAGATTTTCCTTTGGCATCTCTTTAGTCCTGTGTTTTCTCTGTGGAGAAATCTTTTTGTCCAGAAATAGAAATACTAGCTGTGGCGCCGGTGTAAACCGATGCAAGCATTCTATGGGGAATCTAGGGAGCATGTTAATGTGAAAGCGGGCCCCCCCCGCCCCCCTCCGGGTGCGAGAAGGAAAGCTTGAGGAAATGAAGAGCTTCAGCCTGGAATATTTTTGCACTAAAACATAAAATAAACATTTTAAGAAATGTGCTCCAAAACTCCAGCCTTCAGTTTGAGACCAAAGACTGGCCATGGATACAAAGTGGGAAAGATGTGCTCCTAGAGGCCAAGGGAAAAGATGTGCTCCAGGGGCAGGGAGAGACATTTATTTTTACTTTGGGCATAAAGCTTGTTTAAGTACAGATAGTGATTGCAAGTTAATATTTCTCACACTGTAAATTATTTTTAAAGGAGCATTTTGGTTCTTCCCCATCCCCATCCCCACTGTTGATGGGGTTGAAGGAACAAATTCAATCAAATGAATTCTTTGTACAGGGAATCTTGTAAAAAAGAACTTCAGGTTCTTTTTTTTTTTTTTTAAGGGACTGACTGTTTTACCTTCATCTCTAATACCAGCTGAATTTTTACTGAAATGAAACAGAATAAGCCATCATATGGAGTTTTCTCTGTACTTCTTCTTAGGAGGCAGGCCACACCCAGGATGGCAGCAAAATATCTTGTAGTGGAGAATGGAGATCCAAGATGTGGGCTGCCCCTCAGTGTCTATTCTTAGGCCTGTCTCCCTGCCCCTTGGCCCGACCCTTCATAGATGTTTGAGAAGCAACTTGATCTCTGTTTGATCTTCCCCTTTCCTGCCAGGGGCTGCCTCTTCTGACATCCTCCTGACTGTCCTTGTCTATATGAGCTTGATGATGAAGAGCAAAGGGATGGGAGGAAAGTAGAGGAGCAGATTCTTCTTCAGGGCACCTCACTTTGTCTAGGGATGCTGCTGAGCATCACTCTGGCCTCCCCATCTCCAATGACACTTTCCTCACTTCAAGGACCCACATGAGCTTCTGCAGCTGGTGGACAAGCTTTAGGAAGGAAGACCCGTCATCACCTGGTTTACTTCCCTTCCCAGACACGTGATGTGACCACTCACAAGCACCAAGGAGGGGAACCCCTCCTCTGCCCCACACACATTGAATATTTAAACAAAAAAAGTCCTGCTAATCTTTAGAGATGCCAGTGTTTTTAACACATGAAAGGTACCCAGTAAATATTTAAAGAAAATACAGAGCCTGGGTGCTCTAATGAATTTCTTCTTCTAAATACCATCTGGTGAGATGGTCAGGATCACGGCGGTCCTTTTCATCTCCAGTTCCCATTCAGTTTCACCTCCCTTTCCATAAGGCCTTGGTGTGAACCCAGATTGAATGTTTAATTGAGGAGGACATAATTTTCACACATACAGCAAAGATTTGATGAGGCTTTGAGGTTTATTGTAGCCATTAAAATGTCGTAGCTGCTGGCAAAATCCAAGAAAATGTCTAAAGCCAAACCAGATGTGGTTAGCAAGTTTCAAGTGGTGTCAGGCCCCAGGTCTCTGGACAGGCACAACATCAGCTTTTAGAAGGAAACATTTTTGTGTAGCATTAACTACATCTTGCCAGAAAAGATGTAAATTTAACCCTGTGGCTGGTTGCATACAAATATTTCTGATATGACTCCCAGAAGTAGTCAATAAAAGTCTTCCTGAGAGACAAGACTCATGTTTGTACAAATAAACACAGAGGGATTGATAATAGGGTCAACTACAATTTATTGTGTGATTATTATCCTTTGACTCTTTTCATGTAGAGTATCGTTAGCCCTTACAATGATCCTATGGAATTAATATTCCATTTGACTTCTTACAACATATGGTAACTGATGTCCATGGTATTAAAGTAACTGGCTATTGGCTCACAGGTAACGATCTAGCCTTGTTTGAAACTAGATAAGATGCTAGGACATGGCTTAGTTCCTCCACACATCCTGCCTGTGGCTCAGAAGGCTTGTGTTATACCTCCACTTGCCAGCGCTACCTTCACTAGCTGAAGAGCCCTCTTTCCTTCTGTTAATCATGGGTAGTACAGCCCAGGAGCACTGTCTGAGACAGAGACACACTCATTGCTATCCACACAGCATACTTCCATGACTTTTTTTATTCACATTGAGCCCCCTGGCTCCCACCCAGTATCCATTCCTGTCATGCTGTGGCATATCAATAAGAGTTTCAGAATTATTTTTTTTGTGTGCATTTCCCTTCCCTGGACTCCCACACAATTGGAGAGACTGTCAAAACTCTGCCCTTCACTACCACAGTTGCTGACTCTTTCATTCCCTTACTTGTTTACATTTTCAGCATGTAAGATGGCAAAGACTTTTTCTTATATATGGACTGTAGATACCCAAAATATGTGCTGTAAGTTAATGTTAATGAGAGTGTTTTGCCCTGAGTTTGGTGTTTTTTTTTCATTACAAATTCTTAGTGAAGCTTAAAAAGACGAGCGCTCGGGCCATGGGGTCAGATGTGTACTTCGTACTGGTTTGGTGAAAGTAAAATCTTATTAAGTAGCATAACTATAAAAAGTTACCTGAGGAGAAGGTGGATAGCTCAATGGCTGTGGATATAATTAGCATCAAAAGGCCCTGGGCTCCCTCCTTAACCAACACCCCCCCCCCCCACACACACACACACAAGAAATGAACTAAAACACTCAATTTCAGCTGGGTATGGTGACACATGATTGTAATTTTAGCACTTGGGATGCTGAGACAGGAGAATTGCCTTGACTTCCAGCCCAGCTTGGGCTGCAGAATGAGACATTGTCAAGAAAACAATACAAACCCTACTTTATTTCTTACTGGGAAATCTGGATATATAGCACCTGCAGCATAGGAAACAGTGACTAAATGGTTCCTTTGGTAATGATGATTAGAGATCCGTCCCTTTTACTGTTATGACTGTAACCTACAGAATTGGTGCCTACTACTCAAGGGCTGGCTAGCTGTGACTGGGGAGTATCTCATTCCCAGAGCACTTCCTCCTCTGTGAAGACAGAGCCAGGTCTTGACGCTGATAAACTTAAACTTAGTTTATTCTACACCCCTTTATCAGGCAACAGTTTTGATTTCCTCCGTAATGTGGCACTGAAGAAAATTATTGAGAAATGACAAGCATCGGCGATGCTTCTTTCTTATTCCTTGATGTTGTCTCCTGGCCAGAATTCTCAAGGTATTCCCACCAACCCATATGTGGTAGGTGAACTAACGGCTCCCCCCCAACACACACACACACCAGCAGCCCTAATCCCTAGAATCTGGGATTGTGTTACCTTACATGGAAAAGGGGGAGTCTGCAGATGCTGACATGGGGAGATTATTCAGGCCTGGCCAAGTGGAACTAATCTAATCACATGAATCTTTAAAATGAATCTTTAAAAGCCGAAAACTTTCCCTGACTGTGATCAGAGGGAAATATAACTACAAAAGAATGATCAGAGCGATGCAATGTTGCTGGTTTTGACAATGGAGGAAATGGGCAGTGGGCCAAGGAATGTCTGAAGCCCGTAGAACTGGAAAAAAGCAAGGAGCAGTCTCTTCTCAGAGCTTGCAGACTGGAATCTAGCCCTGCCAATGCCTTGGCTGTAGCATGGCTAAGAGCAGACCATGTGTCCACCTTCTGCCATGCAGAACGATAGCATGTATTTTGTTATCTCAGGCCACTTTATGTCTGTGCTAACCTCTTATGGTGGCAACAAGAAACAAATGCATCGGCCATGGATCCCTCTCTCTGATTGTACCTAACATACCCATCCCTCTACTCTCTCTCTCTCTCTCTCTCTCATAGACACACACACACACAACTGGGGCCATAGTTATGGGAGTCCCCGAGTAGAAGCATCAATGTTGGCTGACGCATGAATTGTTTCTATAAAAAGAAGTTGGAAGGACGGATAAATATCAAAGTTTTTAATTATATTTTTTTGGCGTGTGTGGATGTATGTGTCCATGGAAGGCCA